AGCCGAAGAGGTTATAGAAAAAAATGCTTTTAAAGGGAAAAAAAGCCTCTGTCGATCAGGCAAGTCAGCTGGGATCATCAGAGGCTTTTAAAAAAAAAGAAAGAAAGCCTCTGCTGATCAGGCAAGTCAGCTGGAATCGACAGAGGCTTTAAAAGCATTTCTTTTACAACCTCTTCAGCTGAAGAGGTTGTAGAAAAAATGGTTTTAAAAATTTTTTCTTAAAAAAAGTTGGCCACGCCAATCAAGCCACGCCCACAGAACCGGTAGTAACAAATTTTACATTTCACCCCTGGATTATTTGTTTATTTGTATTTATTTGTACAGCAGTTCTGTGGGCATGGCTTGGTGGGTGTGGCGTGGCGTGGCTTGCTGAGCGTGGCTTGGTGGGCGTGGCAGGGGAAGGATACTGCAAAATCTCCATTCCCACCCCATTCGAGGGGAAGGATATTGCAAAATCCCCATTCCCTCCCCACTCCTGGGGGAAGGATATTGCAAAATCTCCATTCCCACCCCACTCGGGGGCCAGACAGAGGTGGTATTTGCCAGTTCTCAGAACTAGTCAAAATTTCCGCTACCGGTTCTCCAGAACCTGTCAGAACTTGCTGGATTTCACCCCTGCTGTACAGTCTTTTCTTAAAAACCTTCAGTGATGAAGGAATCCACAACTTCTGAAGACAAACTGTTCCACTGGTTGATTGTCCTCACTTTTAGGAAGTTTCTCCTTAATTCCAAGTTGCTTCTCTCCTTGATGAGTTTCCATCCCTTGTTTCTTGTCCTGCCCTCTGGTGCTTTGAAAAATAAGGTGACCCCTCTTCTTTCTGGCATCCCCTCAAATCCTGGAATACTGCTATTGTGTCACCTCTGCTCCTTCTTTTCTCTGGACTAGCCAAACCCTTAGCTGAAAAGAAGATCAACTAAGATGATTAAAGGCTTGGAGACTAAAACATTAGAAGAACAGTTGCAAGAATTAGGTATGGCCAGTCCAGAGAAAAGAAGAACTAGGGGTGACATGATAGCAGTATTCCAGTATTTGAGGGGCCACCACCAAGAAGAGGGAGTCAACTTATTCTCCACAGCTCCTGAGGGCAGGACAAGAAACAATGGATGGAAACTCCTCAAGGAGAGAAGCAATGTGGAATTAAAGAGAAATTTCCTAACAGTGAGGACAATTAACCCCCTGCCCAGGCAGGAAACCCTACACCACTTCAGACAAATGGTTATCCAACATCTTCTTAAAAACTTCCAGTGTTGGAGCATTCACAACTTCTGGAGGCAAGTTGTTCCACTGATTAATTGTTCTCACTGTCAGGAAATTTCTCCTTAGTTCTAGGCTGCTTCTCTCCTTGATTAGTTTCCACCCATTGCTTCTTGCCCTGCCCTCAGGTGCTTTGGAGAATAGGTTGACTCCCTCTTCTTTGTGGCATCCCCTGAAATATTGGAACACTGCTATCATGTCACCCCTGGACCTTCTTATCATTAAACTAGACATACCCAGTTCCTGCAACCATTCTTCATATGTTTTAATCTCCAGTCCCCTAATCATCTTTGTTGCTCTTCTCTGCACTCTTTCTAGAGTCTCTGCATCTTTTTTACATCATAGCAACCAAAACTGGATGCAATATTCCAAGTGTGGCCTTACCAAGGCCTTATAAAGTGGTATTAACACTTCACGTGATCTTGATTCTGTCCCTCTGTTTATGCAGCCTAGAACTGTGTTGGCTTTTTTGGCAGCTGCTGCACACAGCTGGCTCATATTTAAGTGGTTGTCCACTAGGACTCCAAGATCCCTCTCACAGTTACTACTATTGAGCCAGGTACCACATATACGGTACCTGTGTATAAAATTTATTTATAGCATGGATAAATAGTTTGGCAAGGCTGTAAAGCAGATCTCACTGCTTCAAGATGGGACTTGGTTGGCTACAAACAATTTTAAATAGTTTTCCGAAGAATAAAAAGGCAAATTAGAAACTGTGTACTATTTATGAAGTGTCTGATTCGCCTTTTTTCCTTGAGACAAAATGACCCAGAAATATTCTATCACAGCTAAAGTCTCATCTGTAAGGTAAATTGAGCCAATAACACAGTTGGAAGCTGCCACTTATTTGGGAGAAAAGCAATAGACATTTTATAGGAGACTGTAAAGGGGTTCTTCAAGAAAATGGCATACAGACCTCCTTCCGTGGAGTTTTTATTATACAAAAAAGCTTAATAAACTTACTTATTTCCTAACTTAACACTAAACCTAGCCTATGTATTGTGAAAATAACATGAAACTCCATGGAAAACCAGTTCAGAAGGTTGGTTCAGTCCGGGAAATTGAATTTCAATCAAGACAGCTAATTAATTAAGGGATGTAGACATTTGGATCAATCGAGGCCATTCGTCTGATAAATTTGGACACGATTTAGAAAAAGTCATTTCTGTTCACAGAAAGCACGGTGTCCAAATTGATATGGACAATTAGACGAGACAGTTGGAATCACTGTTCCAGTTTGGAAAGATGATGATTTATGGGGGGGGGGAATGTGATTTCTGGGTTGCATATACAGGAATGTCTTCTACTTAGGACTACAGTTGAGCCCAAAATTTCCATGGCTAAGTGGAAGACCTCCAAGGTTCTGTTCTGTTCTGTTCTGCCGACGACCAGGAGTTTGATCCTGACCGGCTCAAGGTCGACTCAGCCTTCCATCCTTCAGTAAAATGAGGACCCAGATTGTTGGGGGCGAGAGGCTGACTCAGTAAACCACTTAGAGAGGGCTGTGAAGCAATATATAAGTCTAAGTCCTATTGTCTATTCTATTCTATTCTATTCTATTCTATTCTATTCTATTCTATTCTATTCCATTCCATTCCATTCCATTCTACAATCTGTTTATTCTATTCTATTCTATTCCATTCCATTCCATTCCATTCCATTCTACAATCTGTTTATTCTATTCTATTCTATTCTATTCTATTCCATTCCATTCCATTCTACAATCTGTTTATTCTATTCTATTCTATTCTATTCTATTCTATTCTATTCTATTCTATTCTATTCTATTTCTATTCTATTCTATTCTATTCCTGATCATGTCTTGCAGTCTTTCTCCTTGTGATTTAGCCAACTATTCTCCTCCCAGTAGTAGATTTCAGTTCACATTCAGACATTAGGGACAACTCTACTCTAGTTTCAGAGGTGAAGAATTCTCTCCTGTTTTATTGGATTAGGCTGTCTCTAGGGCACATTTAACGATGCAGACAAGCGTGCCCTCATAAAAAGCCGCTGCTGCTGTTAGCCTCAAGCCCATTTCCAAGAAGGTTGAACAGATGTGCTTCATTAATAGCCTGCAGGGAATGTTCCATCCAAAACTGTTAATTTTAATTCATCGCTTTAGTACCGGGCTCTCCAAACCTGGCAACTTTTAAGACTTGTGTACTTCAACTCCAGAACCCCAGAATCCCTCAGTCAGCCATGCTTGAATTAATCAGAATAGAGCTGGAAGGTACCTTGGAGCAGGGGTGAAATCTAAAATTTTTTGCTACCGGTTCTGTGGGCGTGCCTTAATTAGTGGGCGTGGTTTGGTGGCAAGGTGACTGGGAGGGCGTGGCTTATTGACAAGGTGGGCGTGGCCAAGTGAACGTCACTTCTTTGCCCTTTTTTAACCTACACAACACAACACAACACAACACAACTGGCTCACCCACAATGTAAAAGCAGCTGTGTAGACCCAAAATGGCCCCTGCAACAAGCAGGAACCTCACACAGCCACAAAAAGCCCAAAAAACCAACTTTCACACTTTACACACACACACAACACAACACAACACAACTGGCTCACCCACAATGTAAAAGCAGCTGTGCTAACCTCACACAGCCACAAAAAGCCCAAAAAACCAACTTTCACACTTTACACACAGACACACAACACAACACAACACAACTGGCTCACCCACAATGTAAAAGCAGCTGTGCTAGACCCAAAATGGCCCCTGCAACAAGCAGGAACCTCACACAGCCACAAAAAGCCCAAAAAACCAACTTTACACACACAAAATTCCACATACAGCTTTGTGAGATTTTTGTATGTTTGTGTAGTTTGAGTGAAACACTACAGAAACACACTAAATCTCAGAAAGCTGCACAAATATTATTTTATTTTATTTTTAATATAAAAGCAGCTAAAATTAAAACTTCCTAAACTTTAAATGGCTAGGTCTAAAAAAAGAACAACTAAAAAAAACCCCAATTAACTATTTTTTTAAAGTTCCCAAAGGGGGAAAAAAACTTACCCAATAAAACAGGGGTCTCCAACCTTGGCAACTTTAAGACTTGTAGACTTCAACTCCCAGAATTCCTCAGCCACCTTTGCTTTGCTGGCTGAGGAATTCTGGGAGTTGAAGTCCACAACTCCCTGCCTGCTTGATTGCAGGCAGGGAGATTCAGTTGCTTGCTGATGCAATGGATTGCAGGGATTACAGCAAGGCGTTGCGACCAGCAGCTAAGGTAAGCAAGCTGAGGGGGGGAGGGGGAGGGATCGTCAGAGCCATTTAAAAGGAAAAAAAGGCTCTGATGATCGCGGGGCTCAGCTGGGCTTGGGGGGTGGGGGCAGGGATTTTTGCTACCAGTTCTCCGAACTGCCCGCCGCCATCACTACCTACTCGCCCGAACCGGGAGCATTTCACCCCTGCCTTGGAGGTCTTCTAATCCAAACCCCTGTTCAAAAAGGAGACCCTATTCAATTTGAGACAAGTGGCTGTCCAGTCTCTTCTTAAAAATCTGGTGGAAAGCACGGGAATCTTCAGAGTTGGCTTCGCACCAGTTTGTGCCAAGATGATATCTCCTGATAAAACTGTTCTTTGAGGAGCCTACTCGCCTCGGAGTTCTGTTTGCGATGGGTGTATTACTTGGAACCTTGACACTAAGTTTATAATAAGCCATAGTCAGTGGGTGGAATAGTCTGAATGTTCTCTGAAGGTCCCAGAATGCCACAAAGAATTCAAGCCAGGGAGCAGAGTTGGAATTTTGAAACCATTTGTAGGTACTGTCACAAAATGGTACCCTGCTGTGGGCCATCAGTCACACATCAGTCACACTTCTGTTCTAGAAGAGAAACAAACCAGCTGATGGCAATGGGTCTGAGTAGACTCCAGAAGCATTTTTATTAAGATACCTAGAATCTTCTAGTCCAACCCCCTGCCCAAGGTAGGAATTCTTATACCACTGTTCGAAGAAAAATCCAGTCTGGTTCCATGATGGGAGAAAGGTGCTGGAAATAAGATGGAGGCAGGCTGCAGGAAAGGAGGTCTCTGTTTATTTGTTAGCCAGAAACTAGTGACAGCAGCATGTTTCTGGGGTGGCTGACAAAATGGGGTTGAGAGTAGATGAGCTTTTATACATTCTTTAGAGCTTTGAGATGCCTGTTCCTGTACAAGAATATATCCTTCAATATTTTAATGGCTGTTGCCAGATTCCTATGGTGTCATATAGGGGTCATGGCTGGCTCCACAGGCAAGAGAGGTAATGCAAATCCTAGGCGTTTGTCTGAGCTAATCTTGTCAGCTTTGGCTTGCCTGTTGTGTTGCTTATTTGGAGTCTCTTTGCTTAGGAATAGATTGGCCCAGTCTTTCGGAATGGATACAAAATCTCCCTTCCTAAAAAACCAGCCTCTTCAAGCTTCTGCTTGAGGCTGTTTTCCTATGACAGGAAGACTGGGGCTGTTTTCTACCTTTGTTAAGATTTTTCTCCATTTCTCCTTTAGGGATAACATTCTATCCTGCCTCTTTTTAATATTAAGAATAAAGAATATTTTAATCTGGGGAGAAGGGAGGCCTTCCTCTTCCCTGTGACAGCCCTTCACAGTTAATTATGATAATTTGATGATCAGCTAAAGCTGCTAATTTGCTTTGATGACTGCTAGCATGGGGGAGGGGGAGGCGCTGAGGAATTCTGGGAGTTGAAGTCGCAGAATAAAGGGGCCATAGTTGCCCACCTCTGCTCTAGAGGTGGAGTCTCCAAACTTGGCAACTTTACGACTTGTGGACTTCAACTCCCAGAATTCCTCACTCAGCCCCCCCCCCCCCCGCTAGCAGTCATCAAAGCAAATTATCAGCTTTAGCTGATCATCAATTTATATAATTGCTGGCTGAGGAATACAAAGAAGATACATATTTGATTATTCATATAATAACAGCAGCTAGAATTGTATTTGCACAAAACTGGAAAGCAGATAAAATTCCGTTGGAAGGAGAAATTATAAAGAAAATTTTAGAATGTGCAGAAATGAATAGATTAACATTGAGAGTAAAAGATAAAGAGGAGTCAATGTATTTCAAGACATGGGATAAATTTTATGATTGGTCAGAAAAGAAATATGAATAAGGACATAGAGATAAAATAGACAGAGAATAGGTGGGAGAAAACAATTAGAAAAATAGATACCGAGATGATGTCAAGTAAAAGGAGAAAGGGGAGGGGGGGGTAAAAGGGAAAAAAAGGGAGACATTATAAAAATGTACGCAAATGATGAAATAAAAATAAATAATAATTGAATAAGAAATTGAAATGAGAATAAAGGCAATTAGGAAATCGGGGCTGCTCGAATACCCCTTTAGATTGAACTGAAAAGGGAAAAGAGGGGAAGGAATAGAGAGAGAGGAAGGGAAAAGAGAGGAGAGGAGAAAGAAGAAAGGGAAAAGGAGAGGAAGAAGAAGGAGGGGAAAGAGGAGTAAAGGAGAAGGTTAGAAGGGGGGAAGAAGAGAGGAGTGGGGGAAGAGAAGGGGAAGTAGGAAAGAGAAGGAGAGGAAGAATGAAGGAAGTAGGAGGAGAAACAGGAAGGAAGAGAAGGAGAAAGGTTGGAGTAAAGGTAAAGGGTAAAAGAGCAGCCCCGAAAAAGTAAAAAGTAAAAATGAAAGTTAAAAGAAAAGATGAATGAAAAATGATGGAAATGACTGTACATGTAAATGTGTTTATGAAAAATAAAAATAAAAACTTTATATACCATATATATATATCTATATATGTGTGTGTGTGTGTGTGTGTGTGTGTGTGTGTGTGTGTGTGTGTGTGTGTGTATATATCCCCTTTTAGGGATATATCCACAATTACACGGGAAGAAACCCGAAATATTAACTATACACACATACATACCCGTGAAAACTTACATAAATATATATATATATTTCAACTACCATGCTGGGTCTATTTAATCCTGTCTGATCTCTTCCTTGCAGGATTTAATAGTTTACCAGAAGGGGAAGGAAGAACATGGTTGAAAGCACTGGGATCTCGCTTTTGCTCAGGGGTATAAGCCAGGCTGAAAGTATCGCACTGAATTAATAAACTAGAACAGGGGATACTCTCCCCGATAACTTTTATAGCCTTGCAATGAATAAATCACACCCAGAACCTAGATTAATATTTTCCAGCCAAGAGATTCTTTCTCAGCTCAATAACATTTGAAATTCGCTCCTGTTTTAAATTTCTTTTATTAGAGACTTTTAGTTTCAGTTGCCAAGAATTGCAAGGATGTGAAGAGTCTCCGGAGAAGGGCGGCATATAAATCAAATTTAAAAAAAAAAAGATACAATTAATGGGAGAGACAGGTTTTGTGATCACTGTTGTTGAGCTAGGTACCACCTATTCTATACTTCTACATTTTGATTTTTCTTGCCTAAGTGTAAAATCTTACTTCTCTCACCACTGAATGGCGCTTCATGAGTTACGGCCAGGGGTGGGTTTCAAACATTTTAGCAAGGGCTTCTCTGCCCTGTTGCTGAGTGGGCGTGGCCATGGTGGGCGTGGCCTAGTTGGCCTCCTGAACCACCACAGGGGGGGGTTGTTTTTGCCCTCCCCGGGCTCCGGAGGCTTTCCTTGAGCCTCCGGGAGGGCGAAAACGGCCTCCCCAGGCTCTGGAGGCCGTTCCTGAACTTCCGGTAGGCCTATTTTTTGCCCTCCCCGAGCCTCCATGCGTGCCCTGCACTTACCTGCATCCAAAATGGGCCGCATGGGGACTCCTGGGAAGGGCGGAGTGGGGTGGGCAGGGCCAGCCAGGAGTGGGATTTGAGGGTTCTCCGAACTGCACAGAATCTTAGCTAGAGGTTCTCCCGAACCCCTGAGAACCCCCAGTAGCCCATCCCTGGATACGGCCCAGTGTTCAAATCTGTCTAGATCCTTCTAGATCTTGAACCTGTCCTCTAAAGTGTTAGCTATTCCTCCTAGCTTGGTTTGAATTGATGGATTGTTTCCAGTGGTAGGTTGCCCCTGGTTCGCACCGGTTCTGTAAAACCGGCGGGAGGTTCCTCCCACTAACCCTGACGTCATCAAAACACTTCTGCGCGCAGGTGAAGCAAGCGTGCACACACAGCCCCGTTGCAAACTGGTAGTAAAGGTAAGTAGAACCCACCCCTGATTATTATTTTGCTTCTAACCAGTTGTGCCAATATGATGCATCAGACTGGGGTATTTACGAGACCGCCTTTTGCTACCAATAGCCTCTCACTGACCAGTACGCTCCCATAGAGAGGGGCTTCTCAGGGTGCCATTGGCCAAACAGTGTCGACTGGCGGCCCCCAGGGGGAGAGCCTTCTCTGTGGGGGCACCTGCTATCTGGAACGAGCTCCCCCCGGAGATACGGAGGATCCCGGATCTGCGCACGTTTCGTCGTGCTCTCAAAACATTTTAATTTCAGCAGGCTGGCCTGGCCTAACTCTCCCTTTTAAATTTTTAAATCGTTTAATCTGTTTTACAAATTGGGTGTTTTAAATTTGTTTTCGCCCAAAATATTTAATAATTTTAATGGACTTTTAATGTTTATATTATTTGTATTTTATCTTGGCTGTTCACCGCCCTGAGTCCCCCAGGAGTAGGCCAGTATATAAATTTGATAAATAAATAAATTTGATAAATAAATAAATAAATAAATAAATAAATAAATAAATAAATAAATAAATAAATTGCACCAAATGTAACGGCTTTTTGGTTTTTCACTGCCTTCTGCATTTCCACACACTTTCTCAGATTCAGGTTCTGTTCATCTATTTCTTCAGTTTTATTGTCTCTCTCTCTCTCTCTCTCTCTCCCTCCCTCCCTCCCTCCCTCCCTCTCTCTCTCTCTCTCTCTCTCTCCCTCCCTCCCTCCCTCCCTCCCTCCCTCCCTCTCTCCCCCTCTCTCTCCCTAGTTTCACAGCTGGATAGCCTACAGCCCTGTAAGCAGCATGTCATTAAAGCAAATAAACAACCAGATTTTGCCACTATCCCTTCCATCTGGAATCAGCCATAAAAGGCTTGCAAGACAAACTTGCTTTGTAGATTTAGTCTCTCCATTCAGGCTGTAAATATTTCTGTGCTGGTCAAGAAATGCTCCTTCAGAAGTCAGTGCGTCTCTTGTAAACCTAATACAGATCTGTAAACTCTTCAGGTAAACTATAAGCTGGCAATTCCTTTATGGCTTGCAGAAGACTGAGAAAAATTAACAATAGAACGGCTTTGCCTTCAGAAATTGTGGGTGATCCATCACTGGATGCTTTAAAGAAGAGACTGGAGAGCCTTTTGTCTGGAATGGCATAGGGTCTCCTGCATGTGCAGAGGGTTGGACTAGAAGACCTCCAAGGTCCCTTCCAACTTCATTATTCTGTTCTGTTCTGATCTTTGGATCTCTCTGGCATTTGTTGACATGACTTCAGTGCTCTATTTGCATTCAAATGAAATGATAGGACCCAGGGGGTGAAATGTAAAATGTGTTACTACCGGTTCTGTGGGCGTGGCTTGGTGGGGGCGGGGTAATGTGACTGGGTGGGCGTGGCCAACTTTTTTTTAAAAAAAACTTTTCAAAGCATTTTTTTCTACAACCTGTTTGGCCGAAGAGGTTGCAGGAAAAAAATGCTTTGAAAAGCCTCTGACGATCAGGCAACTCAGCTGGGATCGTCAGAGGCTTTTCAAAGCAGTTTTTATCACCTCTTTGGCGGAAGAGGTTGCAGAAAAAAAATGCTTTGAAAAGCCTCTGGCGATCCCAGCTGAGCCGCGCGATCATCAGAGGCTTTTTTTTTTACTTTTAAAAGCATTTTTTCGTCGGAAGAGGTTGTAGAAAAAGTGCTTTTAAAAGTAACGTTGAAATTGAAAGACAAGGAAGACTCACAGTATTTTAAGGTATGGGATAGTTGGTGTGAGTGGATAAACCAATGGAAAAGAAGGTAAAGTTAAAATTTA